GAATTAAACTAGATAAATATTAATGAATTCATTAAAATATGCTAAAAACAAACTTCCTTCTTGGTTGAATGATAAGGAACCCCTTTATAGCCTCGTTTTCATTCTACCCCATTTGCCAGGAAATTGTAAAAGACCAAAAGTTTAAACTTGACCACTTATTTTGTGGAGGTTGCACCAGCCACATCTGCTTATTGCTGTGCAAACAAATTCAGTTTCAGATTTTGAAGAGGTGCCAGTTTAAGGGACTTGAGCAAGTCTGGGCGTGCAAAGAATAGAATTTCCCTTCATTTATTCGTTTTAGGTTCTCCTTCGCTCAGGCACATCCAGTTGAATACAGGGCACTTTTTTTAAAAAAAAAATCACACTTGTTATGAAACATAAGCCCTTTCTGGAAGAATAGAAAGTGAAAGAGCTTCACAGCTGAAACAGACAAGATTTGCTCAGTGAGAAACTGACTTCCTTGATTTTCATCAGTCACCACTTAGTACCAAGTGAGTGTATGTGAGGCTAAAGACTCCCAGCAGATACAGAAACTGGATGAAAAGGTGAGTTTAATTCTTTACCAAAAGAAAATTATCCTTCGCAGTTAGAAGTAGTTCTGCTTGTTCCCAACCAAATGCTTCTGCTTTGAATATTTGAAAATCAGACTCAAGTACTTAATTGGGAAAATATCATACTATATATCCTCTTCATCTTAGGAAAAGTTTCATTTATTAGATGTGTGTGTGACAGGATGTTGCGTCTGGGCCAGTAAAAATGATATTTCCCCCCCAAAATTAAAAAGAGGCTATGTTTGCACAACACCCCTAACCATAAATGAGCTGACCCTGTTTTAACAAAAGATGTAGTGCAAACTCAAAAGATCAGGTTGAGTGAAACTATGGTTTAGTTAACCATGGGACAAGCCTATGAAGTGAAGGTAGCTTGAATGGGAAGGCCAGAGGAGACAAGATTTTATAATACTGTAGTATGGCCATTGCCTGATATGGCTACTGACATCTGTATTGAGATTTCAAACACCTGTATTGTCTCATAATCTACAGACCAGGGTTCAACACAGATAGTAACACCCAGTCTAAATTTTCTGGGTTTGAATGACATACTTAACCACAAACTAACCACACGGACTAAGCTTGCACAACACACTAGATAAAAGTACAGTTAGTGATTTGTGGCTTAAGGTTTCATGTGAACCCCAGCTGTGGTCTGCTGTTTTTGGAAATGTAACTAGAGAGTTCAGGTTTTACCCAGCTGTGGGTAACTCCATGATCTGCTAGGCGAGTTCAATTGTTTGAAAAGGGTTGGGGGGCTTGGATCTGAAGGCAAGTGGAAGAGAGGGGATAGCATATGCTTTGATTAATCTATTATCCTTTCATTCTTGCATTTGAAACACTCCATATGTGTTTCACTAATGCAAAAGAGGTGAACCTGGGGTCCTTTAGATACTACTGAGCAACTGCCCAATACTGGTTACAATGGGAGTTTTAGTTCAACACCATTGAGGAGTTGTAGGTTCCCCAACCTGACTTAGTGTTTCTGGTGAGCCGCATAGTACAGTAGGCTAAAACCAAACAAACAGCATTATGGCTTAGCATAATGTATGAAGTTGGGCATCATATAGTTTCATTTTGGCTTGGAGGGATATACACAAACCGGCTTTCTTTCCTTCCGTTCTTTAGTAGCTGCCTTTCATTCAGGAACTTAAGATGGTGTACGTGGTGCTTCCTCCTCTGACTTTTCTCCATACTAACAACTTTGTAGGTTGGGCTGAAAGAGAATGATGGCTCAATCTGTTCATGGTTTATGGGTTAGCTGGTTCATGCCAACCCAGTCAGATGTGACTTATTCACTATACAATGTTTACACAAACCATGCCTTAGGATGATAGATGAACTGAATGCGTGGGATGCAGTGGGCAGATCTGAGCCTGGAGTGATCTCTGATGTGTGAATATCTATGCAGCTATAAGGTAATCTTGGCCACTCTGATGCTTTCTCCCTAACAAACTTCACAGGGTTATTTTGATGATAAAATTGGACAAGATAATAAAGTCAAACAGTGGAGATAGGACCAAGCAAATGAATAATAAAACAGGTCTATGTAATCTGAAAAGGGAGAGGGTAAGATGACGACTTGGAGTTCATCTAGGACAACTTTCATCAAATGCTACTCTCATTATTTGTAGCCAAACTACCCCACAGGCTGCTACTTAGGAACAATGGCAACTATAGTCAGATATATTTGGTGAGCATCCAGTTGGGGAAACCTGATGAATGAACCAGAATTGTTTGAATTGGGGGCAGGACAGTAGGGTGTCTTTGGTGAAATCTACAAATCCAGTTTTAGCCTGTCTGTAGCTTTTCCTGTAGCTTCTAAAATTGGGACAGGAGAAGAGGCTATTAGAAAACTGTAAATGGGTCTCCTTTGTGCACACATTTTTCAGAAATGCATGCTGGTGCTGACTTTAAGGATTGCCTTCAACATCCTGTAAGATGGGGAGACTTAAAGTATCAGCATCCTGTTAGTGGTTTCCAGATTCTTCCAGAGCAGCCAACATTTTCAGTTCTTTTTGTGCATTTGGGGATCTTAAGGAACAAAATGGGTGCTTTATACCTTGCAGATGCTTAAAGCATCCATTTCACCCTTCAAATGCTTTATACCCCAAAAAGATGGTTCCTTGGCCCCAGCCACATTTAGAGGGTTACCATTGATGTTCCTCACAAAGCCTGGGGCTGCCCGTGAGCTGACAGAAGTTTCGCACCCTTGCTCTTTTCTCTCTCTACTTGTGAGACCAAAATCACCACACTCAGTTCCACCATTGAAGGGAAGTAGGTCTGTTTGCACTGGGTTGCAACTATCACCTAACTTTATTTTTTCCCTAACCTCTTTGTCCTAATTGGCCAAATTCTGGCAACATCAGGGTGGCTTTTTATGACAGGGAAATAGGCATGACTATCCACCAGCAAACTATCTGCTATATGTCACAGGCCAGGTTGAAGTGGGCTTACTAAGTCCTTGTGTCCTTCCCTTAAGTACTATTGCTAGCCTGTTACTCTCTTTCAGGGAGTCAACTGGGCAGATCTGAAAGGAGTCGACTGCTGCTCTTGCAGGCCAAGTCAGCTGTGAATTGTTATGTTAGTAACTGTAGCAAGAGGACTACCTAAGAAAAAGTGGTTCTAGCAGCTGCTAAGGTGCCTGTGGAAGGCCAGGATGAATGAAGAATCCAAGATGAGACTGTCCATTCCAGTTCTAAGAGGCAAACTTCAGGACCAAACGGAAGTCCCTCATGGAAAAGAGACAACCAAGCAGAAAGATGGACATCCCACCAGAAAAACATCTGAAACCACAGAGACTCTATTCATCACTTCTGCAGAGCAAAAGTTGTGGGAACAGCTTCTGGGACACCTCTCTCCATCTTTTTGGGAAGTTAAGATTTCAAGAGCACCCCAAAGAGACTTGCCAGCTCTCTCTTTTACAGGCTCCCCAGAGGCAGTTTTGAGAGCCAAAGAAACCATCAGCCATTTGCTCATTTTGGTAGGCTCACAGGTTAAAGTCAACCTGATGGATGTTCCACAACTCAAAGTTGTCGGATTTTTCCAACTCCACAAGGGATTCCATCTTTTCCTATGGGAAGGAGAAGCTTCTCATATCAGAGTGGATGCTGTAGTGAGGATCGGGACCAGTGGTGGTCTGGGCTATGGAAATACTGTGCTTGCTCAGAGGGTGTGGAGCCCAGAAGGGGCTCTTTATACTAATTTGGACATTCACTTTTCAGACCCACCAACAGTAGAACTAGCAGCTGGGATGGTGAAACTGGCCTTGGAGGCCGCCTTCCGAAAAGGGTTCCAGTCTGTAGTTATATCTTACTCAGGCAGTACCATCTCTACATCTGAAGCTGAGGTGATAGTTGTAGGAATGGAAGCCTTTAGGAAAAACCATCCTGTAGCCCCCTTGAAAAGCATTCATGTGGTCTTTGGAGATGGAAAGGCCACTACAGTATTCTACAAGGAGTGTCAGAAGCACTGGTGTTCTGGAAAGAATGACTTAGAGAAGTTTAAAAACATGCTATTGTCTTTAGAATCCACCAGGATTGACGTAGTGACCAGTCCACATATAAAGAAAAAAGTAAGTATCTGTTATTTTTTAAAATCAATCATTTATTGGGCAGGGACAGGAAGAGAAATGGAAGAATAACATGGGCGTGTAAAAGGGGCATATGAGAAGATGTTTGCTGTAATTGTAAAAATGTTTTACTAGGTTTTACCTGAACAATCTTGCATTGTTTCTGTCAGGTTCTATAGGAGCTGCTGAGAGTGGTTTTGTTTGTGACAGCATAAAAATATGTGTAATAAATAAATCAGTACATAAATAAAGGATTAGACAAGTAGGAGACCAGGATTTTCTTCTAGAGCATCAGATGATTTGCAATAGATGAACAATGGTCTTCAGCTGTTTCCTCATTAATGATTTGTAGCTTTTTAACAGTCATCCAACAATCATAATGCCAGGATAAAAGTAATGAGAATAGATTTTCTGTTGCCACTGTGATGACTGGGTAATGCTAGAAACCGCTCATGAGGAAATGGTTTATGATTCTCATGTTGTACAAGAACAGTTACTCAAAACACAACCAAATGGTGCTATAATATGCTTTAATAGCGGAATTGCAGTGTACCCTTTACTTGGTTACTGAATGACCATTTTCTGGGTAATATAACACACACAAGGGGTGTGGTAGATTGGGCTGTGTGGGTCTCTAAACCTCTCTCTCCTCAACCCCATTGCATTCTCCCCAAGCTCCTGAAGAGAACCTTGTCTGTAAAGCTGCCACTGTTGCAGATAAAATTCCTCTTTGTCTGGTTTACTCAGGAGAAGGAGAGTGGCGACCTGCTTCTCCCCTTTCCTTCCATAGGGAAAGTGTGTGTGCCAAAGATTGGAGTTTTGGATAAACGGGGAATCAATATATTTTGCTCTGTGAAGTCTATAGGCATGCTGAAGATTCAATTAAACTCTCTTGAGATTGAGATCCTCCATTTGTCTTGCACCAGAATGCACAAGATTACGGAGGTGAAGCTCAACAGGTTTTAAAAGTAGCATGTAACCATACCTATTTGTTTTTTTTTCTTTTCTGAATCAAAAGTAAAAGCATGGGGACCCCATTTGGAACAGCCTGTAGGAAGGAGTTACTTAATCTTCTCCTGAGCAACCTGAAGCTTCCATTTATGAGGGTTAGTAACTGCCCCCATCCCCACATGCTAACATGCTGGAGGAGGACACACTTTGGAGGAGTTGCAACTGGCAAGAGAGGACTAAACCTTCCTTTGTGTTGGAGCCCTGAACTGAGGAGCAGATGTTGTTGTTTATTAAATTTGTATGTCATCTAATCATTCCAGTGGCTTACAAGATAGAATAAAACATCCACAATAAGCCAGAAGTTGGGCTTCTGAGCACTTAGCTTTAAGGGGGGGGGGGGGAGAAGTCAGATGCAGCTTTCTCTCTGTGCATCTTTTACCTTGAGTCCCTGGTTGAGTTAACGCCTTTTTCTTTGTGGACAGGCAGATGTGGTGGTTCTCCCCCTGGTGCTGGATTCAGATGGGCTGGACTGGGGCTCAGGAGCCCGTGCCATCACACAGAAGGCTCTGGAGGCAATCCCACATGCTGCTGACTTGTGTCCAGGGGACATTCTTTTGGTGTCAGGTTCAGCCTTTCCAGAGTTTGGCTGTAGAGAGACATACCTGGTAAGGCTTGATGACTCACAGAAGCAGCAGCCTGAAGAAGCCCGTAAGGTAATCAGGACAGAGGCTATCATGTTGATGCCCAATATCTGTCTTATCTTTGTGTCCTTCCTTCCTTCCTTCCTTCCTTCCTTCCTTCCTTCCTTCCTTCCTTCCTTCCTTCCTTCCTTCCTTCCTTC